AAAATGAAAAACAGTAGTGAAATGCTCTAGTTAAATACAATTAGCAAGGTGCGACATTCTGCTAACAGGGGAGTTCCTGAGAACGTTGGTCCTTGGCCTAGGTACAAAAAAGCTTACTGAGAAACGGGAACCCATTCTTGGTACTAAAAAGAAGACTTCGCCTAACAGGTCTTGACAATCAATAGAATTGGAAAGAAGTTTGCAAAAAAATTTCACTGCTTGTTGATTACGTCTTTTTGTCAGTGATGTAAAGGAATGTTTTTCTAACAAAAGTGTGTAATCCGTGCCTCTTCCAGGATAAACTCCATTAGTCTTAAATGATATGTATTTAAGAAGAGTTCGTAACAGTGATATAGTGGAGACCAAACTACACAAGCATACTCTATTTTGCTTAGAACCAATGCATAATACAAACTTTTTATCACGTTACTGTTATGAAATGTTTTAGAGGTTCTCATAATAAAACCAAGTAATTTGTTGGCTGATCTGCAAATCATATCAATGTGACTGGTAAATGTAAGCTTTTTGTCAAAGATTACACCAAGGTCTTTTATCGTCTCTTTACGTTCTAACTGATAGTGGTTAAGTACATAATGTGTGTTAATTAGGTGGATTTTTCTTGTGTATGACACAAAGCAGCATTTGTCATAATTAAGAGGAAGTTTGTTCTGGATACACCAGTTAAACAGTATGTTAACGTTCTCCTGTAGCAATAACATGTCTTCATCATGGACAATTGAATGAAAGAGCTTAAGATCATCTGCATAGGCTAAAGTCTTACACGTAAATGAAATAACCAAGTCATTAATAAATATGTTGAAAAGAAGGGGCCCTAGGTTTGATCCTTGAGGGACTCCAGATTTTGATTCATATTCGTAAGATGTGAAGCCATTAAAGTGAACATAATTTAAACGGTTTGAGAGATAGGATGTCATTAATCTTAAAAGCTGCGGGCATAGTCCAAATGCACTTAGTTTTGATAGAAGTATATCATGATCAATTCTGTCAAACGCTTTTGAGAAGTCCACATAGATGACGTCTATCTGTGTATTTCTATCAATAGATTTACAGATGTCTTGAGTTATACATGACAAATTGGTGACTGTAGATCTAGAAGACATAAACCCATGTTGAAAAGGAGAGATGTAAGATCTAATTTTGTTATAAATAACTTCATATAGAATTTGTTCATAAACTTTACTAAAGATGGATAATATCGCAATTGGCCTGTAGTTCTTTACATCCGACCTATTGCCGCTTTTTAAAACTGGTACGATACGAGCTCTCTTCCATATTTCAGGAAATGTTGACGTTTGTAGAGATAGATTAATAATTTTTGACAACGGACGCGCAAATACATATCTACAGTCTTTTATAAGAAAAGATGGCAACATATCATCACCACAGGTTTCCTTGTTTGCAAGTCTACGTAAAAAGTTGAAAACATCTTCTTCAGAAACACGACTCAATATAACCGGAGGTAAATACGAGTGAACATCTACTGGTTTATAGGAAGACGAGCTTGCAAAGATTTTTGAGAATTCCGAAGCGAATAAATTTACAATTTGTTGAGGATCATCATATGAATCATTATTATGTTTCATAACTCCAGGAATTCTAGTGTCCTTATTTTTAAGACGAATAAACCGCCAAAAGTCCTTTGGTTGACTTAGTAATGAGTTCTCAGATCGTAACGTGAAGGCTTGATATGCTTGTGCAATCTGTGTTTTGATTAGTCCTCGCAGTCTATTGAATTCTAATAAATAGCTTTCATTTTTGGTGCGCTTCCATATATTTCTGTGTCTTTCCTTTATTTTGATGTTTGCTTTTATGTCAGGAGTATACCAAATGGGATATTTGGAAGTGTAACATTTTACTTTTGGTACAAACTTATCAATACTTTTATAAATATTGTCATAAAATAGACTAAGTGCCTCATTAACGTCTGTTGCAGAATCCAAAAATGACCAATTTAAGTTTATAAAGTCATCATACAAATTTATAAAATTTGCTCTTTTAAAATTGTATTTAATATTGTTAGCGGATGGAAAGGATTGCACAGTTTCAACATCAATTAGTGTTGTATTTATAGATAGCGCTGGATGATGCCGATCTTCTTGGACCCATGGAAATGCTTCTCGATCAACATTAATTATGGATTTTATATTGGTTAAAATAAGATCTAACGTTTTACCATTGCTGTTTAGAACATTATTGTGTTGGTTGAGACCCATAAGAGAACAAAAGTTAATAAAACAACGAGTTTTTGAACACGTAACTCTAGAAGCAGTGTCAGTTGTTAACTCAGGTAAATTAAAGTCACCGACCATAATAAATGATTTGTCTAGTAATATTGGCACTAAAGCGTCAATGAAGGAACACATATCTGCAGATGAAACGTCTGGAGGAATATAAACACTTACAAGGTAGATGGTATTTGTTTTTATAGTGCCTTTACAAATGACAATATCAACTAAGGGTGCGATATCATTAATATGAGAAGTATTTACACATTCAAAGAAATATTTGTTTAAATAAGCGATCAGTACACCCCCACCAGTGGAGCGACCAACTGATTCAGAGCGTCTATCACAACGCATGATACTGTAGGATTGTGGAAACAGTTCATTATTAGTGATAGAATCACATAGCCAGGTTTCAGATATTATTACAAAATCATAAGCCGAGTCAGAACTATTAACATAAAAGCTATGAGTTTTGGAGCGAAGGCCCCGAACATTTTGATAATATATATTTATGTCTTGATGAGATGGAGTACAGTTGGGCATTTTTAGTTTACCGAGTTGGTTTTAACAATTGTAGGAACTCCACGTACGTATTTTATTGATATATCAGTTTCCCCTTTACTTATTCTGGATTCCAATTCCTGTTTCATCTCTTTGTACAATTCAGTCTGCATCTGAGTACGGTCACTTGAAAATCGAATATGTTTGTAGTTATCCATGTCACGCAACTTGGAGGTATTTTTTAATAAAGTTATTACATCATCAGAACTTGGCAGTTCAACTTTAATAGGTCTACATAGCGGAATATTGGCGTCATATTTTCCACATCTTACAGGTTTAATATCATTATGAGTTATTTGAAGGCTGGTAAAAACTTGAGTGACTAAATCCACATCCTTAATCTCTTGTTCTTTTTTCGAGATCTTAATACCTTCCTTTACACCATAAATCATAATATTGTTCTTCCTTTTTTCACGCTCTTGAAATTCAGCGACTGTTCTCTCGATGTTAAGCAGATTAGATAATTTGGAGGGGGTAACCGTTTCCTTAAATTTCACAATTTCATCTTGTAAACTTCTTCAACCAACACTCGTTTTGAAAGACCCAGACCTTATTAGACAGATTGCCGTCAAAGAATTCGACCACTTCGTCGACCATCCAGCTTTCATTCCAGAAGATAGCGATCCTCTATGGAATAACAATCTATTCGCCTTAACTGGGAAAAGGTGGCGCGAAATGCGAGCAACACTCAGTCCCGCTTTCACCAGCAGCAAAATGAAATACATGTTCTCTTTGATCTCACAAAGCGGCGAACAATTTGTCAAGTACTTTTTGAAAAAGAACGAAGATGTCATTACCGTTGAAATGAAAGACATTTTCACAAGATTCGCCAACGACGTTATCGCCAACACTGCTTTAGGTGTCCAATGCGACTCGTTGGTAGAACCGAAAAACGAGTTTTTCGTCATGGGAAAAAAAGCTACAGATTTCAGCGGTTTCTGGAAGAATTTAAAGTTCATGCTTTTTTTTATAGCACCTAAACTTTCTGATGTGTGTTTTCTAACAGCATAGACACTTGTATACTAATTTGTTAGTTTTTAGGTATTCAAAGTGAGGTTTTTTTCCGAAGAAGTCAACCAGTTTTTTACCAGTTTAGTCCGAATGAATATTCAAAGTCGCGAAACCCACGGAGTGGTGAGACCCGACATGATCCAACTTCTCCTCGAAGCTCGATAAAATCGCCTCAACCACGAAGAGCCTCACTCGATCCAAGATACAGGTTTCGCGACAGTTGAAGAACACGAATTTACCAAAAATGCCAAGAAAATCGAGCGTGAAATAACAGACCAAGACATCGCCTCACAAGCGTTGGTTTTCTTCTTCGCTGGTTTTGACACAGTTTCTTCTTTAATGAGCCTCATGTCGTACGAGCTTGCTGTTAATCCAGATGTCCAAGACAAACTCTTGCTAGAAGTAGATGAAGCTTTGGGGACCTGTAATGATAAAATTACCTATGAAGTTCTTCTTGGATTGAAATACATGGACATGGTTGTATCCGAGTGTTTAAGAAAATGGCCCAATTCTGTTGCTACCGACAGAGTATCTACCAAACCCTACACTATTGAACCCAAATATCCAAATGAAAAGCCTGTACATCTCGAAAAAAATTACTAGTGTCTGGATACCAATTTTTGCTATTCATCGTGACCCTAAATATTATCCCGAACCGGACCGGTTTGATCCCGAAAGATTTAACGATGAAAATAAGGCTAAGATTAAACCCTACACGTACTTGCCTTTTGGTACTGGACCCAGGAATTGTATCGGTTCCAGGTTCGCACTACTAGAGACAAAAATCTTGTTCTTTTATATTTTGTCACATTTTCGGATAGTCCCTGTCCAGAAAACCCCGATTCCTTTAGTTTTGTGCAAAAAGCAACTTAATTTGAATGCAAAGGACGGGTATTGGTTAGGGCTACAACGACATTCCAAACTTTAATTAAGTGTACATTTTACATACATTTTTATAAATAAATAAACTAAAATCAACATACAGACATTTTGTGTTGCCTAGATTTATAATCACCAACCATATAATATAGTGAAGAGAAACAAAGTTAGAAATTATAGGTATGTTGGGTAATCGCAATGGCAAGTGGGGGTTCCATAATGGTTTTAACGAATAAGTCCTTCAACTTGCTAACTATCACTTATCTTATCACTTATAGTTGTGTTTTCAATGTTAGTGGATCAGCACGATGTGGTGGATACTGGCGGCTGTGGCAGCCCTGACTTTGGGCTATTGGTTTTTGGTCCGTCCGCACAAGTATTGGACAGAAAAAGGGGTCAAACAAGGAAGCTCTTTATATATTTTTGGGGATAGTTGGGGCCAAACACTGGGAAAACAGTCATTTCCGGAACTGGTTGAGATGTTTTACAACATGTTTCCAAACACTAGGTGAGAAAAATTTTGCTATTTTATTTTAATTCTTGACTGTTATCAATGTACAACAAAAAATTATTAGCACAAGAATGCGATAAGAGGATTTGTATCCTGTCATATTATTATCTATATAATCCCTTTATTTTTATTTATTACTATTTTAGATACTCCGGGTTCTACCAAGCCTTCCTACCAACGCTACTTGTAAAAGATCCCGACCTGATTAAACAGATTACCGTCAAAGACTTTGACCATTTCGTCGACCACCAGCGTTTTGTTCCAGAAGATAGTGACCCTCTGTGGAGTAACAATCTATTCGCTTTGAATGGCAAGAGATGGCGCGAAATGCGAGCCACACTCAGTCCAGCTTTCACCAGCAGCAAAATGAAATACATGTTCTCTTTAATCTCGCAAAGCGGCGAACAATTCGTGAACTACTTTTTGAAAAAGAACGAAGATGTCATTACCGTTGAAATGAAAGACACTTTCACAAGATTCGCTAACGACGTCATCGCCAATACTGCCTTTGGTGTCGAATGCGACTCTTTGGTTGACCGCGAAAACGAGTTTTATTTGATGGGGAAAGAAGCCACAGATTTTGGCAACTTCTGGAAAATTTTGAAATTCGTTCTATACGCTGTAACACCTAAATTGGCGGATGTGTGTATTCTACTACCATGTTATTTTCTCGTAATAACTTTAGTACGTTTCAGATATTCAGGGTGAGGTTTTTTTCCAAAGAAGTCAGCGACTTTTTCACCAATGTAGTCACAACTAATATCCGAAGTCGCGAAAAACATGGTGTGGTAAGACCCGACATGATCCATCTTCTCCTCGAAGCCCGAAAAAATGGGCTCAAACACGAAGACTCTCACTCGATACAAGACACAGGTTTTGCTACAGTCGAAGAACACGATTTTACCAAAAATGCCAAGAAAATCGAGCGTGAAATAACAGACCAAGACATCGCCTCACAAGCGTTGATTTTCTTCTTCGCGGGTTTTGACACAGTTTCGTCTTTAATGAGCTTGATGTCGTACGAGCTTGCTATAAACCCAGACGTCCAAGACAAACTCTTGCAAGAAGTCGATGACACTTTTGAAGCCTGTGGGGGTAAAATCACTTATGAGGGTCTTCTTGGAATGAAATACATGGACATGGTTGTATCCGAGTCGTTACGAAAATGGCCGAATGCTGTTGCTACTGACAGGATGTGTACTAAACCTTACACTATTCAACCTAAACATCCAGACGAAAAACCTGTACACATCGAAAAGGAGAACTGCATCTGGGTACCCGTTTTTGCTATTCATCGGGACCCTAAATATTATCCGGAACCAGAGCGGTTTGATCCTGAAAGATTTAGCGATGAAAATAAGGCTAACATTAAACCCTACACGTACTTGCCTTTTGGTATTGGACCCAGGAATTGCATCGGGTCTAGGTTTGCCCTACTGGAGACAAAAATTTTGTTCTTTTATATTTTGTCGCATTTCCGGATTGTTACTGTAGAGAAGACTCCGATTCCTTTGGTTTTGTGCAAAAAGCAGTTTAATTTGAATGCCAAGGACGGGTACTGGTTAGGGCTAAAACGCCGTAATCTACGAACCAAATAAAAATTTTTGCCCAGATTATGTTAACCTTGTGACATGTTGATCCCTTTTTAAAATATTTAGAAGCATTAGTAAAAAATGTATGTAGGTAAATAAATGAACTAAAAGACATATTTGGCGATTCACTTAAAACTAAGTACACCTCTCTTCAAACTGTGATAACTGATAGATAAGCCTATGAAAACAATACCCAAAACGGAATATCGATTAATCTCTAAATCCATAAAAGGAATTGACAGATAAATACATTTTTCCCTCCAACTTACCCACAACCAATCAGAAGCGAAAACTTCTAGGGTCGTACTGTTTGAAATGAACCTGGGATAGTATAAAACAGAACAAGGGCTCACCATTTTATTCAAAACATTGATAGAGAACAAAGCAGACGCAGGTAAGAGATTTTACTTTGAAAAAATATACTCCTATAATTAATATTTTAGTAATTGCACGATGTGGTGGATATTGGCCTCTATAGCAGTCGTTGTTTTGGCGTATTGGTTGCTGACTCGCCCTCACAAGCACTGGGTAAAAAAGGGTGTACGACAAGGAACTCCAAGATTTGTTTTGGGAGATAATGGTGGAATGGTTTTGGGGAAACAGTCGTTTGCAGAAATGGTTGAGATGGTTTATAATACGTGTCCAAATACCAGGTACTCAGGCTTCTACCAGTTTTTTCTACCAACCCTTTTACTAAAAGACCCCGATCTCATCAAACAAATCACCGTCAAAGACTTCGACCATTTCGTAGACCACCGAAATTTTATTCCCGAAGATAGCGATCCACTATGGGGGAAAAATCTTTTCGCATTGACTGGGAATAAATGGCGTGAAATGCGGGCAAAACTCAGTCCGGCTTTCACCGGCAGCAAAATGAAGCACATGTTTGCTTTAATCTCACAAAGTGGTCAACAATTCGTAGACCACTTTTTAACTACAAAGCAAGATTTTATTACTGTTGAAATGAAAGATACCTTCACTAGATTCACTAACGACGTCATCGCAAGTACCGCTTTTGGAGTCCAGTGTGATTCTTTAGACGACACCAACAACGAGTTTTATCTCATGGGAAAAGAAGCCACTAATTTTGACGGTTTTTGGAAGAATCTGCGAATTTTTGGATACATTCTAGTACCTAAATTGTTGAAGGTGACTTTTGCTCTTGGTATATGTATTTTTGGTTCACGTTTGTATTTTGTAGGCTTTCAAAGTGACACTATTTCCCAAAGAAGTCAGCAACTTTTTCAATACTTTAATCATGAATAATATTCGCGCCCGTGAAAAACACGGAATTGTAAGACCTGATATGATCCATCTTCTTCTTGAGGCTCGAAAAAATGGAGAAACCCAAAACGTTCAAGACCAAGATATCATCGCTCAAGCTTTAAGTTTCCTCTTCGCCGGTTTTGACTCAGTTTCGGCCCTCATGTGCTTCATGTCCCACGAACTTGCCGTTAATCCAGACGTCCAGCAACGACTTATCCAGGAAGTAGATGAAACGGCGGAAGCTTGTAATGGTAAAGTCACTTACGAGGCTCTCCATGGTATGAAATACATGGACATGGTTGTCTCTGAAACCTTAAGAAAATGGCCAGCTGCTGTTGCTACGGAGCGAGTTTGTACAAAATCCTACACCATCGAGCCTAAATTTCCAGATGAGAAGCCTATTCACTTGGAAAAGAATGCGGTTGTTTGGGTGCTCATTTTTGGGCTTCATCGAGATCCTCAATACTATCCAGAACCAGAACGCTTTGATCCTGAAAGGTTTAGTGACGAAAACAAAGCCAGTGTGAAACCCTACACGTATTTGCCTTTTGGATCAGGACCTAGGAACTGTATTGGTTCCAGATTTGCTCTCCTGGAAACTAAAACGCTGTTTTTTTATATTTTGTCACACTTTGAAATAGTTCCAGTGGAAAAAACACAAATACCTTTAGTTTTAAGCAAGAAACACATTAATTTGACTGCGGAAAAAGGGTTCTGGTTAGGGCTTAAACGTCGCTCTAGATCTAGAATGTAATAAAATATAAGTTTTAATTTCTATTTGTTGTGTTTTTTACGTAATCTGTTGTTGGTTATTTTGAATTTCAGAATTTTGCTTAATGTGATGACGAGTTTGGAGAAAAGTACTTCTAAGGTTAATGCAAATATTGACTAAAAAATAATAAAAAAGTCTTAGGTACCATTGTGAAGTTCTCAGTTTAAAGGTCGATTTATAAACTTGTCGTTGACGTTGCTGTTTGCCGTTGACGTTGCCGTTGACGTTGGATTTTCAACTAATGAAATTGTGGTGGTGTGCCGTGGCAAGTCGAAAGTTCTCTTTTGGTTTTCTTTTTTAATTAATACATTTAATTTTCTTTGGAATAAGGATTTTACAATTAAGCTCCACCCCTCGGCTTACGACGAATAAAAAGTTCATTAGAATTGAGATAGGGCGGGTGGGCGGGGCTTATATTTTGATTTTTTTTCTTAATATACATAGCCATCTTTTCAAAACAAGGAACTTAGATCATGGTTAAAATTATGGGGTGGAGCCTAACTGCAAAATCGATATTTGCTTGTACAAATTTTCCATTTTAAACACGTTTTAAGTTTCATGTTGAGGAAAGAAATCTACACATATTAAAACATAAAGGCAAAATGTAAGCCCGCCCACCCGCCCTGTCTCAATTGTGATGATTTTTTTATTCGCCGTGAACCAAGGGGGCGGAGCTTAACTGCAAAATATTTCTTTACAAGAAATTATAAACATGTTGTTGCGTATAGTGTTGTTCAAAAAATATCATGCATATTAAGAAGAAAAAAAAAAGGCAAAATATAAACCCCGCCCACCCACCCCATCTCAATTGTGATGATTTTTTTCATTCTTAGAAACTTAAAACACGTTTTAAGGAAATATGGATTTTGCAATTAGGCTCCACCTCCAGGTCCGCCAACGAATGAAAACTTAATTACTATTTAGTTCAGGGTAGGTATAAGTAGGGCTTAATCTCTGCCTTTAATTTTTTCTTAATATACACAGTATTGTTTGAATAACACGATACTAAAAACATGTCTTAAATGGCAAATTCTTGTAGAGAAATAATAAGGATTTTGCAGTTAATTTCCGCTCCACTGGCTCTCAACGATAAAAAAAAATTCATCACAATTGAGACAGGGTGGGTGGGCGGGGCTTATATTTCGCCTTTTTTTCTTAATACACATAGCCATCTGTTCATAACAAGAAATTTGGAACATGGTTAAAATGGTACATTTTTACAAAGAAATATAGATTTTGCAACTATGGGGCGGAGCCTAATTGCAAAATTGATATTTACTTATACAAATTTTCCGTTTTAAACATGTTTTAAGTTTCTTGTTGTCAAAAGAAAACTACACATATTAAAACAAAAAGGTAAAATGTAAGCCCGCCCGCCCGCCCTATCTCAATTGTGATGATTTTTTTTATTCGCCGTGAATCAAGGGGGCGGAGCTTATCTGCAAAATATTAGATATTTCTTTACAAGAAATTAAAAACATGTTTTTGAGTATAGTGCTGTTCAAAGAATACCATGTATATTAAGAAATAAAAGGTAAAATATAAACCCCGCCCACCCACCTCATCTCAACTGTGATGATTTTTTTTATTCTTAGAAACTTAAAACAAGTTTTAAGGAAATATGGATTTTGCAATTAGGCTCCGCCTCCAGGTCCGTTAACGAATGAAAACTTAATTACTATTTAGTTCAGGGTAGGTATATTTAGGGCTTAATCTTTGCCTTTAATTGTTTCTTAATATACACAGCTACTTCCCCTAATCTAAAAACACTTCAGAGTAACATTAGTATAGTGGAGTTGAGCGTGAATGCTTGGTTTATCTCTAATCGACTATGTCTTAATAATGAAAAAACTAAGCAAATTTACTTTGGTCTTAGAGATTTAGAAATTATAAATAATAATGAACCAGTCCAACTACTAGGAGTTTTATTCGACAGCAAGATGACGTGGGAGGTTCATATCACTCAATTAGCGAAGACGGTTTCCCAAAGATTGTATGTCATGCGTCGTTTGCAACATATTGTATCTACATCCACTATAAAAACAGCTTATTTTGGCTACATACACAGTAAAATCTGCTACGCAATCTTAGTTTGGGGTCATTCCTGTCATCTCTACAAATTATTTGCTATTCAGAGAAAGTGTGTACGTATTATGAGTAAATTGAATTATAGAGACGATTGCCGTAACGCTTACAAAAGGCTAGGAATAATGACTGTACCTTCTATATACATTTTCTCCTGTCTCCTGTATGCAAAAAGAAACAGAAATCAATTTAGAGGGCTTGATCATGTATATGATACAAGACATAAAAGCTTACTTCAACCCGAATTTCTAAGGCTTTCACGTACAAGAAATGCTATACGATTTTTTTGTCATCAGCTGTTTAACAGTCTTCCACTAACTCTTAAAGACAAAAGTTACGCCAGTTTTAGATTTTGTGTAAAAACCTTATTAATTGAGAATGTTTTTTATTCATTAGAAGAATTTGTAAAATTTAATTTTCGCTAGTGTACCTACTTATATTTGACGTATGAAAAATTACGATGTAATTCTTGTCATGAATAAATTATTATTAAGACCCACCACTGACCCGGAAATGACCGGCATTCAGGCAAGACTTCTATCATTACGGGTACTAAGACCAAGTAATGATATGCATTGATTAGATTAACAGAACAACTTTCGAGATTCTAGAATTACAGCATACAAATTAGTCTGCTATTATTCTCTAATCTCACCCCATCCCCAAAAGTCCAGCGTAACTACCGACCATTTATCCGCGCATCACATGAAAAGTGACCTACACTACTCTGACCTACTGGTGCTAATCTAATCTGACTGACATGATCAGACTGTTCAAGAAACTTACGAACAATATGACATGTTCCTAACAAAACAGCTTTTTGAATTTTGACAATTATTGAATCATTCAAATGCAAAGACTTTAAATTCTCAACTAAGCTATTTGGAACTACACCTACATTAGAGATAACTAGGGGTAGAATTGAAATTTTTTTAAGATTCAACATGGATTTCATTTCTATCGATAATTGTAGATATTTTGAAATCTTGGTGTCGTATGTTTGAATAATGTTGTTTGTGTTAGGAATAGCAATGTCAATGAGAATGGCTTCGTTCGTGTGTTTTTTGATAAGTATGATGTCTGGTCTGTTAGCTGTAATGTTTAAGTCTGTAAGTATTGTGCGATCCCAGTATAATTTGTATTTGTTATTTTCAAGGAATGGAGACGGAATGTAAGTGTAATATGGTGTCGTATCTTCGATTAAGTTCATAAGTGTTGCTAATTCTTTGTGAATGATTTTGGCTGCGTTGTCGTGTCTAGCTTTGTAATCAGTTTGTGCTAGGATGCTGCAAGAAGAGATTATGTGCTGGATCGTTTCAGGTTTTGCTTTGCAGAGGCGACAGCAGTCGTTTTTTATGTTCGGATCTTTGATGATGTATTTTTTGTAATTCTTGGTATTGATTACTTGGTCTTGAATAGCAAACACAAATCCTTCTGTTTCGGCATACAAACCTGATTTTTTTAACCAAATCAATGACATCTTCTTATTGATATGAGTTTCTTCTAAGTCTTTGTAGAATTTTCCATGTAGTTGTTTTTGTTTTAGCCCACTTATTATTTTATCTATTGTGTGGGGGGTGTGGATTTCTTCGGTGTTCGACAGATTTAAGGGTGTGTGGTTCAAATCTGCTCTTGTGATGGTGCGAAACATTTCATTTCTTTCCGCTCGTTTCAAGAAATACTTCTTCAAATCTGAGATTTGTCTCTGACATAAGTTTTCTAGGTTCTGGAAACCCCTTCCTCCATTCTGTCTTGGTAATGAGAATCTTTCAATCGACGATTTTGGATGATGCCTTCTATACTGTGTGAAGATTTTCCTTGTTGCGATGTTTAAATTTTCAAGATCAGTTTTGGACCATTTAATGACTCCAAAAGAATATGTTAGTAGTGGAACGCAGAATGTATTTACTGCTTTCATTAAATTTTTTCCATTTAACTGTGTCTTCAATATTAATTTCAATCTCGCTAGGTATTGATCTTTCAACTGTGTTTTCGTTTTGGTATGATTGATGTGTGATGATTGACAGAAACCCAGATATTTGTATGTATCGTTTCGTTCTTGTGCTTCGATTATTTCGTTATTCTGGGTTATATGTGGTACTTGGTGTTGGACGCCTTTTCTGATTGCTTGGGTCTTACATTTCTCAATACCAAAAGACATACCAATATCACCGGAAAATTGTTCAGTCAGATTTAATAGGTTTGTTAACTGATTTTGTGTACTTGCATATATTTTTATGTCATCCATATACAGCAAGTGACTTATTCTGTTTTCTCTTTGTTTGTTAATTCTTATATTGAACCCATAATTGCAACTGTTCAGGATATCGGAGAGGGGATTTATTGCTAAGCAGAACCATAACGGACTAAGAGAATCGCCTTGAAAAATTCCTCTTCGGATCATTATTGGATCTGACTGAATTGTTTGTTCATTTAAGGTTATTTGAAGGGTGGTCTTCCAAAATTCCATGGAACATTTTAGAAAAGTGCAGATTTTAGTATCAATTTTGTATAATTCCAGAATTTTGCATAGCCAGGAATGAGGGACAGAATCGTAAGCTTTCTTATAATCAATAAAAGCAGTATATATGTTTCGGTTTTCTTTTCTAGCTTGTTCACAGATGATGGAATCTATGATTAATTGCTCTTTGCAACCAAAGGATCCTTTAATACATCCTTTCTGTTCTTCATTAATGATGTTAGAGTTAAAACAGTGTTGATAGATTTTTTGTGTAATGCATGAGGTTAATATTTTATAGATTGTTGGTAAACATGTGATAGGTCTGTATTTTGATGGATTTTTTGTGTCGTTATCTTTAGGTTTTAAGTATGTTAAATTATCATTAATATTATTATTATTATTATTATTATTATTATTACAGTACTGTTTGAATAACACGATATTCAAAACCAAGTCTTAAATGGTAAATTCTTGTAGAGAAATAATAAGGATTTTGCAGTTAATTTCCGCTCCATTGGCTCTCAATGATAAAAAAAAAAATCATCACAATTGAGACAGGGTGGGTAGGCGGGGCTTATATTGTGCCTTTTTTTCTTAATACACATAGCCATCTTTTCACAACAAGAAACTTAGAATATGGTTAAAATGGTACATTTTTACAAGGAAATATAGATTTTGCAATTATGGGGCGGAGCCTAATTGAAAAATTTTTATTTACTTATACATACAAATTTTCCGTTTTAAATATGTTTTAAGTTTCATGTTGTCAAAAAAAATCTACACATATTAAAACAAAAAGGCAAAATGTAAGCCCGCCCGCCCGCCCTATCTCAATTGTGATGATTTTTTTTATTCGTCGTGAAGCTAGGGGGCGGAGCTTAACTGCAAAATACTAGATATTTCTTTACAAGAAATTAACAACATGTTTTTGAGTATCGTGTTGTTCAAAGAGTACAATGTATATTACAAAAAAGGCAAAACATATACCCCGTCCACCCACCCCATTTCAATTGTGATGATTTTTTTTTCCTTTAAAATGGTGTTGAAATATGTATTTTGCAATTAGGCTCCCCCTCTAGGTCTGCAAACGAATGAAAACTTCATTACTATTTAGACCAGGGTAGGCTAAAGCTTTGGCTTCAATTTTTTCTTAATATACACAGGACTGTCTGAATAACACGATGCTCAAAGACATGTTTTAGATGGTAATTTCTTGTAGAGAAATAATAAGGAATTTGCAGTTAATTTCCGCTCGTTTGGCTCTCGACTATCAAAAAAAATATTACAATTGAGACAGGGTGGGTGGGCGGGGCATATATTTTGCCCTTTTCTTAATATACGTAATCGTCTTTTCAGAACAAGAATCTTCAAACATGTTTAAAATGGTAATTTCGTGTAGACAAATATGGATCTTACAATTAAGCCCTGCCTCTCGATCTGACAACAAATGAAAAATTCATCACAATTGAGAATTAAAATCGGGGTCTGTGTGGGTGGGACCTAATCTTTGGCTTTATTTTTTTTTAATATAAGCTCCACCTTGTTGGCTCATGACGAATAAAAAAAATCATCACAATTGAGATAGGGCAAGTGGGCGGGGCTACATTTTGCCTTTTTTTCTTAATATGTGTAGACTTAATTCGACAACAAGAAACTTAAATCATGTCTAAAATGGTAAATTTTTGTAGTAATCAACTTAAATCTTCCACTTTTCTTCCGCAATCCCTTTAAATACGGCAAAAGTTGAACATCAAAGTTACTATCAACGGCAACTTGGTAAATGACAATTTTCAGCTCTGAAAGCAACGGGAGTATCGTGTTGCAACGGGAACTTCAACTTCAACACCAAGTTTATAAATCCCGCTTAAAACTAAAGAGAATGAGGCAAAAGTATGTAAATTGGGTCAATGAAAAGATCTTCAAGTAGAAAACAAGAATCTATAGTGATTTATAACCATAAATAAAATAATAACGATAAGAATATTAATTTTAATTAATCAGAATCGAAACTCATTGCGTCACTGCTTACGATATCCCCGAAAGAGTATAAAAGAGGCAGCAACTTGCTATAAACAACTAAAGTGCAAATCACTGGTAAGCGATTCTTACTGGAGAAATTACGCCTTTAATTTCTTTAATTCAATTAATTGTTTTCTAGTGGCATTAGATCTGTACGATGTGGTGGCTATTAGTCACTATAGCAGTCGCTTTGGGGTACTGGTTGCTAATCCGTCCCCACAGGTATTGGTTGAGAAAGGGAGTGAAGCAGGGAACTCCAGGATTTATTTTTGGGGACAACTGGGGAACGGTTCTGCGAAAACAGTCTTTTGCGGATATGATGGCCATGGTTTATAACGTGTCTCCAAACACCAGGTGGGTATAAATTTTTATCTAATAGGAGTACTGCAAGTCATAAAATGTTCATTCCTGTTCTTAAACAAGTAATACCTGATTTGTGTTTAACGTCAGTGATATAATAACAATGATTATTAATAGAATGTGTGATACTTTAGGTACTCAGGCTTCTACCAGTTTTTACTACCAACCCTCCTAGTAAAAGATCCCGATCTTATCAAACAAATCACCGTCAAAGACTTCGACCATTTTGTGGACCACCGAAGTTTTATTCCAGGAGACAGCGACCCACTATGGGGTAGAAACCTTTTTGCTCTAAATGGTAAAAAGTGGCGCGAAATGCGAACTGCAATTAGTCCAGCTTTCACCACCACCAAAATGAAACACATGTTCACTTTAATCTCACAAAGTGGTGAACACTTCATAAAATACTTGTCGAAAAACGACGAAAGCCTAATTACTGTTGAAATCAAAGACATTTTCACTAGAATCACTAATGATGTCATCGCGAACACTGTTTTTGGAGTAGAATGTGATTCTTTGGAGAACAAATCAAATGAGTTCTACATGATGGGAAAAGAAGCTACAAACTTTAGTAGCTTTTGGATGGCTCTCAGGTTTTTTGGATACATCTGTGTGCCTAAATTATTTAAGGTGAACTCTGTTTTATTCTCACTATTTATTTTTGATTTCGTTTTTTTTTAGTTTTTGCAAATAACACTCTTTCCAAAACAAGTCCTCGACTTTTTTACGAACGTAGTCAAGAACAGTATTCAAAGCCACAATAAACACGATTTTGTAAGACCAGACATGATCCATTTTCTCCTCCAAGCTCGGAAAAACGGGCTTAAACAAGACGAAACTGAACCCCTTCAAGATACAGAATTTGAAATCAACAAAAACTCAGAAAACACAAAAGTAGACATTACAGATGAAGACATACTCTCACAAGCTTTCATTTTCTTTTTTGCTGGGTTTGACGGAGTTGCCTCACTCATGTCCTTCATGTCTCACGAACTTGCCGTTAATCCAGACATCCAAACGAAACTTATACAAGAAGTAGACGCAAATTTGGAAGCTTGTAAGGATAAGCTCACCTACGAGGCTCTTCTTGGTATGAAATATTTGGATATGGTGGTGTCTGAAACCTTAAGAAAATGGCCCAATTCTGTTGCTATGGATAGAATATGCACAAAACCTTACACCATCGAGGCTAAATACCCCGATGAGAAGTCTGTACACTTGAAAGAGGGTGATGTTATTTCGGTGCCCGTTTTTGGTCTTCATAGAGACCCGGAATATTATCCAGAGCCAGAGCGGTTTGATCCCGAAAGGTTTAGCGATGAAAATAAAGACAACATTAAACCCTACACGTACTTGCCTTTTGGATCAGGACCTAGGAATTGTATTGGGTCTCGACTGGCTCTATTAGAGGCCAAAACGTTAATGTTTAACGTTTTGTCAAATTTCGAATTAGTTCCAGTAGAAAAAACTCAAATACCTATGGTTTTAAGTAAAAAAAGTATGAGTATGACTGCGGAAAAAGGATTCTGGTTGGGACTTAAGCGCCGCTCCAGAGCCTAAATTTTTGTCACTGTGAGACAACAGCGTCTCAAATATAAGTTTAAGTTAACTAATAGAGGTTGTGGGTTGTGAAACTTGGGAAACTAATAATAAATGAATCTTTTGATGAATAGAATATTAAAAGCAACACTTGATGATTTTTTATTTAAAGCTTTAGGCTATATATGAATTATCTGCATATTGCATATAAATCCGCTCTTTAAATTGATCAATCATTATTCTTCAAAACATGGAACAAAATTTAATTTTAATATTACTCCACTCAACGCTGATATGTTTCTGTTTCTGTCTTCGTCAGACACACTGTATTACACAGGCAAAGCAAACAATGCACGTACTTCTTAGTATTTAACACAAACCCCATATTTCAAAGGTGGTTTTGTTCTATTTTTACTCGTATTGAGTGTTGAATGGAACGCAGCATTGATTAAATATTTAAAATTAAATATTTTTTGATGAGTTCAGTTGATGGTTAAAAATGTCGCACTTTACACCCGCCATTCAAAATAGCATTTTTTATAAAAACAATATTTCAATATAGCATTTTCTATAAATACAATATAAAAAACGCGCACTTGCTCAAAATTCCGCTACCGGTAGCGGAATTCCCCTACATCTGGCAACACTGCCAAGAGCCGAAAGACCGAATGATTCATCAATAGATCCCTGAACCTTGAATGACTAACACCGATGAGCAATGTTTCGAGCTTGCGCACAAACGCGTTTATAAGATAAGGCGGAGCCTCTCACCAGATTCAAACGTCCAGTGGCGTAACAAAAGTAATTTTCTTCAAAAAAACCTGTTAGTTAATCATGGTTCATGCAGGTGGAGAAATGGGATTTATACCAAATGCATTATTAAAGAACATAATTGAAAATGAAGCTTCTGAAAACGAAGACCAACAAGCAATTTCACTGGAATTCTACTTAACCAGTAGTGATTTCGACTAAATTTTGACAAAGATATTTTGTACTATTTGTACATGCAATAATTAAAAATAGATTCTAAATAAAATGTAAGCAATGTTATTATTATTATTATAAAATATTTTGAAAAGGGACCACCGTTTGTGAATATTATCACACCCCACTTGGTCGAAAATTTTAACACGCCACTGTCTACGGACCGCTATCCATCAGTTATCTCTCGAGGTACTTTTGGTGTGAAAAACAGTGCACGATGTGGTGGATATTGGCGGCTGTAGTAGCTCTTGCTGTGGGGTACTGGTTACTGGCGCGCCCCCACAGGTACTGGTTGGAAAAGGGGGTGAAGCAAGGAAATCCAGGATTTATTTTGGGGGATAATTGGGGACTAGTTTTGGGGAAACAGTCTCTAGCGGACATGGTTATGATGGTTTATAATGCGTGTCCAAATACCAGGTGGGTAAAACTTTTACTTTTTAAGTAGCAAGAATTGCATGTTAGCAAAATGTTTATTATTGTTTTTACACATTTCATACAATGATTTGTCAATGATTAATAAAAAAATGACATCAGTGATAATGACTATGATAAAAGGTTTAATTTGTTGATCTCTCTTTCTCTCCTTCTCTCCTGTTGGAAGTTGTGAGCGCGTATATTTATGATTACAGGGTCGAAATAGGTCATGGATGTGTGCCGCCTATCACTTCATGAGAATTTCATGTTGCTACAAGAACTCCTGACTGTTGAGACAATCTAATCGAGTTATCTTAAATCCACAACAACTTCCTCAGATACTGAAGGAAGGGGATCTCTCATTGTTGAAATTGCTATTTTGAACAAATCTGTTAATTACATCGCCTCTAATTCACACTTGAAAAAGCGATCACCATTAACTCGAACTGAGGTATAATTTCAGCAGAGCGGGATTTTGAAATCCATCGCCAACTACGCCCTTAGAATCATTTATAAAAGCCCTGTATAAACAAATATGCAAGTACTGCTCGTTTGATAGTGTAAGATATGATAAGATAAGATTAGTTTTTTACCTGAATGTGGTTTTATATTTTTTCATCATTACTTTAGGTACTCCGGCTTCTATCAGTTTTTATTACCAACCCTTCTACTAAAAGATCCAGACCTCATCAAACAAATCACCGTCAAAGACTTCGACCATTTTCTAGACCACCGCAACTTTATTCCAGAAGATTGCGACCCTCTATGGGGCAAAAATCTCGTTGCTCTAAGTGGTAAAAAATGGCATGAAATGCGGACAACCCTCAGTCCAGCTTTCACCAGCAGCAAAATGAAATACATGTTCACTTTAATCTCCCAAAGTGGAGAACAATTCGTAAAGTACTTTCTGCAAAACGACGAAAACCTTATTACTGTTGAAATGAGAGATGTCTTCACAAGATTTACTAGTGATGCCATCGCCAACACTGCTTTTGGAGTCGAGTGTGACTCACTAAGGGACCGAGAAAACGAGTTCTATCTGATGGGAAAAGAAGCTACAAACTTTACTGGAGTTTGGAAGAATCTCAGGATCTTTGGATACTTGTTGATGCCTAAACTATTCAAGGTAAATTCGTTATTCCATCACTAGTTTTCAGCTAATTTGCTATTTTTCTAGTTTCTTAAAGTAACACTGTTTTCAAAAAAAGTCGCCGAATTTTTCACAAATGTAGTCAAGAGTAATATTCGAAGTCGCGAGAAACACGGCCTTGTAAGACCAGACATGATCCACCTTCTCCTCGAAGCTCGAAAAAACGGGCTTAAACACGAAGAAACCGAGCTTCTTCAAGATACAGGTTTTGCCACAGCCGCTGAGTCTGAATTCAACAAAAACCCCAAAAACGCCAAAGCTGAAATTACAGATGAAGATATCACTTCTCAGGCTTTAATTTTCTTCTTTGCTGGTTTTGACGCAGTGTCTTCACTTATGTCGTTTATGTCTCACGAACTTGCTGTTAACCCAGACGTCCAAACAAGACTTATCGAGGAAGTTGACGCAACTTTGGAAGCTTGTGAAGGTAAACTGACGTACGAGGCACTTCTAGGTATGAAATATTTGGATATGGTTGTTTCTGAAACCTTAAGAAAGTGGCCCAATAGTTCTGCTGTGGATAGGGTTTGTACGAAACCCTACACCATCGAGGCTAAATATCCCGATGAGAGACCTATCCACCTGGAAAAGAATGATGTGGTTTGGCTGCCCATTTTTGGAATACATCGAGATCCTCAGTACTATCCAGAACCAGACCGCTTTGATCCCGAAAGGTTTAACGATGAGAACAAAGTCAACATTAAACCGTACACGTATTTGCCTTTTGGATCGGGACCTAGGAATTGTATTGGTTCTAGATTTGCTCTTCTGGAGACTAAAACGTTGTTCTTTTATACTTTGACTCATTTTGAGTTTGTTCCAGTGGAGAAGACTCAAATACCTTTAGTTTTAAGCAGCAAGGGCATCAATTTTGTTGCTGAAAATGGGTTCTGGTTGGGACTTAAACGGCGTTCTAGAATTTAAATTTTTGATCAGATGTAAGAGTAATTTTGAAAATATTGAAAATCATTTCTGTGTTATAAGACTGCATAGAACTCTAGCTGCTATTATGGTGGGGTGTAAATAAAAATGACCATTTTAATAATAAATAAAGAAAATACAACCAATATTGTACCGTTTTATTATAGGGCTGTCTTCCTTAATAATTTGAATAACGTAAAATTTGAAACAGTGTCGAGAAAAATTTTAATTGACTATGAAAACAGCCAGAGACGCGAGCTGAAATAAAACGAATTGAAAAATAAATCGAAAGATATGTTACAAGGAAAGTGTAGGAAACAAACAATAGGTAATAAAAAATAGAGATTTGAAATAAAGGGACGAAAACACAACGTGACATAAAAACAAAATTCACAGAAAATCACTCTACCACAAATCCTCAAACGTAAGAACAAAATTCGCATATTCGCAAATATCAAATATCATTGCGCTTGTCAGAACTTGCGAACAACATGCGCAGAACTGTCATCCATAAAAGCAGCCAGTCGCAATTACTTCTATTAGAATTCGAGAGATGCAGCAGGTTGCCGCAACGAAGCGATGACGACAATTTACGACACAGAAGCCACGTAAATCCGTCAAAGACGAAATCTTATTCAAACTAAACTAAACCTTATAAAACAGCAAAGTAAGTTTTATAAAAATTAAACCAACGATTTCTCGGTTCTCGGATTAGACCCCTACTTCATAGGTTTTTGGGAGGTTTCCGGCTCGGAACCACTTTAATCTGATTCCTTTGCATGCGTATCCATTTTTGCTTTTATTTGACCACCCCGCAACCGCTGATTTTCTCGTGTGTTCGCGCCTGTAAAAATTACTAGTCTTTCGTTTTGAATGTTTTATTTTCACAATTAGCGTAGTTTTAGTTTTTCTTTATTCTCAGGGGAAGATTTCATTGATTTCCACTGAATTTTTAGTTATAATTGTTTTAGCAGTTTTGAGAGCAGTTAGCTAGTGTGGAATTACCCAGTCGCAGTTTATTAAATGATTAAGTGCAGTACTCGAATTCGTATCTAGCAGTTTTCGAGGTTTAATTCTCACACAAGTATTAATATGTTTTAGAAGATATTGCACATATTTAGGGATTTATTAGGTTATTTTTACGTTTTTAATTGCATGAAGTTATTAACCTTACGTTTTATTTTGCCGTTTTCCTGATATATATTTACTCATTTTTTTCTTTTACTAAGATTGTAATTTTTATCTTTCAATACAACGAAACAACATTAACGAACATTTACAAACTAAATTTTTCGAAAATCCTGATTCGAGGCTATTAACATTTAAATGTTTTCCGAATCAGTTCGTCGGGATTTATGTTTCAAAAATTTTTTGACGAATTTTAGGCCACTTGAAAATTTTCAATTTTCCAGTAAAATGTATGAATTTTTTAACCGTTTTTTCGAACATTTTGGTCTCGGGCTATTAGCACTTTATGTTTTTACAATAAGTTCGTCAATATCTATATCCCAGAAAAAATATTGTGAAATTTTTTTTGAAGATTTTTCGAAAATTTTATCCGGGACAATTAACACTATATTTTTCGGATCCGCTCGTTAAAATGTATTTTCTACAAATGTACAAGGGTTTTTAGGCAATTTTTCAAAATTGTCATTTAAATTGTACTTAAAGATTCTATTTTCAAACCGAATTTAAAAAAAATCTGGTTTCTGACCAAGAAATTACGTATTTCGAATCAGCTTGTCTAGATCTATATCCCAGAATTTTTTGAGGATTTTTAGACGAAATTTTATTATATTAGCTTATTATTTCAATATCTTCCGCTATGAATTTTATGACAGTTTTTCGTGCTCTCGAGATATTTTTGAAAATTTTTGTCGGGACGGACAATTAACACTTTATATTTTCCGATCAGCTCGTCAAAATATATTTTCCGGAATTTTATGAGAATATTTCGGCAACTTTAAAAAAAATCTTAATTTTTTGATCCCCGCTCGATGAATTTTATAACGATTTTTAGAATTTTCGAAAATCCTGTTCAAGAGTTATCAAGACTTTATGTTTTTGGAATTAGCTCTCAGATTTTTTTCAGGATTTTTTTTGGGAAACTTTAGGCAAAATTTCCAATTTTTCGGAACAATTCTGTATGAACTTTTTTACCATTTTTAGAGATTTCGATATAATACAAGATTTATCATTTTTACACAGAATTTTTCGAAAATCTTGGTCCGGAGCCATTAATACCAAGTTTTGAATCCAAACTTCTATGCATTTTTTGACTGAAGAGATTTCGAGATATTTAAAAAATCCGCTTTCAAGGGGATTTTCCGAAAATTTTGTGTCCCAAAACGTACTGAGAAATTTTAAGCTTGGGGACAAACAACACTGTGTTTTTCGAATTGGTGAAATATATTAAAAAAAAATCATCTTCAAACCGAATTTTTCGAAAATATTGGCCTGGGGCCATTGACATTGATGTTTTTCGAATCAGCTCGTCGAGATCTCTATTCTATAATTTTTCGAAAATCTCAATTTCTCAATAATGTTATTTATAAATTTGTTAACACTTTTTTTCAAATTCGAGATAGCTAACAATTTTTATTTCAAAACCGAAAATCTTGTAAATGTAATTCCCAGAATTTTGTTGGAATTTTTAGACATCTTTTCAAAATTGTCAGTTTTTAATGCCCTCCCCCCCTACCAATTTTCAAAAGCTCAATATTTCAATATTTCCCGTATAAATTTAATGACCGTTTTTCGAGCTGTCGAGATATTAAAAAAATATTTTGAAAAAGAATTTTTTGAAAATTTATCTCCAGGACAATATATTTTCCAGAATTTTATGAGGATCTTATCTAAACACTTTGTTTTTTGAATCAGCTCGTGGAAAGATTTATCCCAGAGTTTTTTTAGGAATCTTAGGCAAGTTTTCGAAAATGTCAATATTTCTATAACGCCCCTGTATTAATTTTATGGCCGTTTCTCCAGCTCTCGACATATTTAAAAAAAAAAAATAATTTTTTGAGAAGCTTTAGGCAACTTTCCAAAATTTTTTATTTTTCTGTACGAATTTTTTGACCGTTTTTCGAGATTTCCAGATAATACAAAATTTATCATTTTTAAACCGAATGTTTCGAAAATCTTAGTAAATATTTACATACTTTACAGTTCCTCGAAATATATATATTACCCAAAATTTTGTGCGGATTTTAGTCACTTTTGCAAAAATCTCAATTTCTCAATACAACTCTCTATGCATTTTTGATCGCTTTTTGAAATTTCGAAAAATTTTAAAAAAACCCACCTTCAAGGGAATATAAGCGAAGGGACGAAGACATGAAATGAATGAATTTTACATAAATCTAAGTATATTACAGAATTTATTTTAAGATTTCTAGAAAACTTTACAAAAATCTCAGTATTTCAATATCCCCAGTATGAATTTTGTGACCGCTTTACGTCCGCTTGAGATATTAAAAAAATAGTACTCTTCAAACCTAATTTTTCGAATTTTTTTTTTGTGACAATTAACACTTTATATTTTTTGAATCAGCTCATCAGAATGTATTTTCTACATCACTGTGCGTATTTTTAGGCAACTTTAAAAAAGATCGTCCCAATTTTTCTTCGCATGAATTTCGAGATATTAAAAAAATCCATTTTCAAACCGAATTTTGCGAAAATCTTGGTCCGGAACTATTTGGTCTTTTATTTCTAATCAGCTCGTCGAAATCCCGATCTCAAATTTTTTTTTTGAGGATTTTTAAGCCAACGTTTCAAAAATCTCAATTTTTCCTGGTCTGGAGCAGTAACTCTTTATATTTTTCGAAGCTGGTGCAAGTCTGATGTTCTTGAGGAATTTTTGGCAACTCTTCAAAATTATCAATTTTTCAAAATTTTGTCACCGCTTTTCGAGATTCGTGATGTTTAAAGATTTTATTTAGAAACAGAATTTTTGAAAAATTGGTCCAGAGCAAGAAATTATTTATGTTTTTCGAATCCGTTTCTCGAAATATGTACATTTTCCAGAATTTTGGCGGATTTTTAGGCAAATTTTCAAAAGCCTCAGTTCTTCTATTTTTATTTCCTGTGTGAATTTTTTGATTGTTTTTCGGAGTTTAGAGATATTAAAAAAATCCATTTTCAAACTGAACTTTCCGAAAATCTTGGTCCGGTCTTTTTCTAATCAGCTCATCGAAATCTCGATCTCAGAATTTTTTGAGGATTTTTGAGCAAACGTTTCAAAAATTTCAATTTTTCTTTGTGGTATGAATTTTATGTTTTTCGAGTTTCAGAGATATTTAAAAAATTTCCATTTAAAATCGAATTAAAAAAAAATATCTTGCTCCGGAGCTATTAACGCTTTATAATTTACAAATTAGCTGGTCCAGACGTGTATCCCAGAAGTTTTTGAGGAATTTTAGGCAAGTTTTCAACATTGTTAATTTTCAAAAATTTTTCACCGTTTTTTTGAGATTCGAGATATTTAAGATTTTATTTTAAAACCAAATTTTTGAAAAAGTGGCTCCAGAGCGGGAAATTATTTTTGTTTTTCGAATCAGTTTCTCGAAATATGTAACATTTTTCGGACTTTTGTGACGATTAGTACTTGCCAAGAGAAGACTGATTTTGCCAAATGACATACTCTCTAAGAAAATAGAGGGTTGATTGGCGGGGCTAGTACTTGATAAGATAAGACTGATTTTGGGCACTTTTCACATTTTTGACCATTTTTCAACTAAATATATCCGAAAATTAGTTGAAGACATTTGCTTGTAAATTTCGATATCCAGCTGTCACTTTCGGCTTCGTTTCTTCGGAAATTTCTACCGTTTTTCTAAAATCGTCAATTGAAATACAGTCATTTTTAGAGTTTCATCAAAATAACTCTCTATAAAAATTTTGTAGATAAAAAAGGAAATTATTATTAATTTTTGTTCCATTATTCCATTCTTAGTTTCCACTCCCACCCGACAGAAGAACGTAATTAGCCCCGCCCACCCACCCTACCTCCTTTTCAGTGATTGATTTTATCCGATCTGAATGAAATAAATGACCTTATACTGAACCGAAATTAAATTAGTTGTTAGAATGAGAAGAGGGTGAGTGGGCGGTGCGAGTACTTGCTAAGATAAGACTGATTTTA